CAGAGAGAAAATTGATTATTAAATTATTAAATGTGACAAATAAAGAGCAGTTGGATTATTAAGTATTATTCTGTTGATCGATGTCATTACATTTGGTGAAAAGCACATAATGACTTGTTTATGACTCGTTTTGTCAAAGTTTACGACTTGGACTTGACTTGAACTTGCCCATCCTGACTTGAGACTTGACTCGGACTTGAGCGCAAAGACTTGAGACTTGACTCGGACTTGAGCGCAAAGACTTGAGACTTGACTCGGACTTGAGCGCAAAGACTTGAGACTTGACTCGGACTTGAGCGCAAAGACTTGAGACTTGACTCGGACTTGAGCGCAAAGACTTGAGACTTGACTCGGACTTGAGCGCAAAGACTTGAGACTTGACTCGGACTTGAGCGCAAAGACTTGACTCGGGCTTGCAAAACAATGACTTGGTCCCACCTCTGCTGACCACAGATGGACTTAACAACGACAAAAATAAGAAAGCATTCATTCTGGCGAATTCACTGAGCAGAAAATTGGATTTCTGTACAAACTCAAAGAATGCTCCAACACCTACCTGGATGACCCACTGTCTGTGCTGCCAGGCGTGGTAGTTTTTGGCATCTTGGCTGAGAATATCCGCAATGAACTCCAATTCCTCTGAGGGGTCCTTCAGCCACTCCACCACCATACGCCTGTGATGCCTGGAGGAGGAGGTTCGGAAGCACTAAGTGTCATAGTGCTGCAGTGAGTCAGCATTTGTGCACTTCTTGTCTCCAAGTTAATGGCTTTTTGGTTAGATTTGACTATGACATAAAAACCTGTCAATCAATTCACCACTCGTGAATTTTTTATCTTTTAAATGTCTTGCGGCTAAAATTACTCTTCAAAACGCCACCTTTAGCTTAGCGACGTTGACGTGAGTTATGCGATAATTATGTAGTTCATTTATAGCCTCTTACTTCTGGCGATAGCATTTATGCTTCAAAAACCCTAAAAGTGGTGTTGTGAAGGACTCCCTCTGGAGGGAACTTGGGGATTCTAGCCTTTGCAGACCATTTACATGCACAGAAACCTATAACACACTACAGGGAAGGGACATCCCCAAATAGCATAATAGGGCCTCTTTAACAAAACATATAACTTGGCAAAAACAGCCCTTTGCTAACAAATACTTTACTTATATTAATAGACCTGGTGATAAAGATTTCCCTAAGTAATGCAAGGTTCTTTAAAAAAACAGCTACATAAACATGTGACCTGAAATGAATTTGACAGCACTCACCAGACTTGATAGTTTTTGGGTTGCTCCTCAATGATGGCCGTAATGTACCTCATCTCCTCCCTCAGGTCCTTTGTTAAGGCCTGCAGCAGCACGCGCCTGTAGTGCCTGAACACACCCAACACAAGGACTGTCAATACATTTTCTTTCAGAAGGTGAAGAAGTGTAAAGGAATTGAGTAGTTGACAACTCATGAGTGTGATCTTGTCAAGGTATGGCTCTATCCAACACAACATGAGATCCAAAGATGAAATGTTTTACTAACTGACTGTGGGGGTGCAGCTTTAGCGATCCACAGCCCAGAAGAGAAATACTACAAATAATCTGAGACCTTGGTTGGTGATTGGCTAATGGTTACACAAGGCAAAAAATCGTTATGACATCCTAAAGTGGCCAAAATCTGATCAGCTCATTTTCAGATTTTTTATATAAATGGATCACTACACAAAGCGAGTGAATCTTTGTTCCTGACATTTTCAGAATCTCCTTCCACAGAGGGGACACTTGTCTTGTGTTTTTTCACTGTGGTATGAAAAAGAGACCCTACTTAATAGTGAGCATTAGTTTTCCATATTGCAAACATGCAGCCTGCTTACCAAACGGTGTAATTGGCAGCATTTAGCTCGATGGCTTCTGCTGTCAAAGCGAAAGCCCGATCGCTTCTTTCATCGTTCTTCAAGAGCGCACGGAAATAGTCAAACACATCTGAGACTGTTGGAAGAAATATTAGCACATGTGGTATAAACATCAACAAAGTTCTGACTCCAACTACTATTGAATATTGTCTGGTCTCATGTCTGTGAGACTTTGTTAAAATCATAATTCAGCTATTACAAATGTATAAAGTTTACAGGCAGTACATTGTAAATTAAACATCGCTTCCTTTAATGTTGATGTGATTAGCTAGCTGTGAATAACAATCTTACACTTTTCAGAGTAGGCGATCTTCACGACAGGATTGGGTCCATCGTCCTGAGGGACTGGCTCCAGGTCAGCCCACTCCTTTCTGTCCCTGAGACAAAACACGGGGGTGGGTTTAATGGCTGTCACCTATTATTCTGAATGAAGGAAGCTAATGCAGCTAGCACTACTTACAGTTCCTACTGCTTTGACACAAACACAATACACGTTTGTATTCGTAAAATAAACGTATTGCTGTATTGGACAGTTTAGTTGTGCCCTGGTTAACTTTAGCTTCTTAAAACGTCCTACTTCGCAGGGGTGTGGCGGACTAACAGAAAGCAGCAGTGAATTACCACAACATTATACCAACATATGGGATAATAGGGTTTGCTACCAAACCCAATGGCACTGCTGGTAACCTTATAATAACAAAAAAGCAAAAACAAACAAACATTAAACTAGAAGTTATCAAACGTTACTGCGTTAACTAAAGTTAATTAATAAATGGTTACCGTTAGAGCAGCTATCAAGCTAGCATACAGAATAGCCATGCTAAGTGATAAACAGACATTACCTGTAAAACATATATCGAGTCGGGTCAAAATAATCATCTTCGAGGTTGTCTTCAGCCTCTACATCAAACTGTTTGTCTTCTTTCAGCTCCACAGACTCATTTGAAAGGTCTTCAGCACCTGACATGATAACTTTGTAGCCTAATCGCTCCTGTAGTCCGCGAGGAAGGAAGAAAACGTCATATCCGGTGTAGCAGAGTTGCCTTCACGTACTGCGGGAACTAATCAATTCTACCAAACATTGCTCTGTTTGATTAAAATATGGTTCAATTGAAGAGCTACCACGAAAGAAACTTTAAAACATTAAGGTATCGTATAAAAATAAAACACTCATTTGTGTCTGTCAATGCAATTATACAGTCATTTGCAATCCCGTAAGCACTGATATTTACTGACACACACGCTGCTGAGATGTGACGTTTATGGAACAGAAAAGTTGCGAATGATTCCGATCACCGCCCCAAGCTGTATGCTTTCACACATCTTGTGCTTTTATTGTTTGTATGCATCTGTTCCAATGACTAAATCCGAGTGTATATGGTACTTATGAGTTATTTCTACTTTTTAGCTCCATCATATGGCAACATTTAGTTCTTATATTTGGGAGAAATGCAGACATGCATTAGGAAATATAAATATTGTTAACAGTCATACATCAATTAATTACCATTTGATATCTAAAGTATAGATTATATGCAAATCACATTTCAGTTTAATCATTTTCTACTTCATCCAAGTTTAGGACTTTTGCTTCAACCTTTAATTGAAACAGCATCAGTGACACATTTCTTAAGGTCAAGCTGAACTTTATTTTTCATCAACGACTCTGGACATTATAAAAATAAATAGATGATTCACAGTCAGTGGATCGTAATACAAATTGTTATCAAAATTATGTACCAGCCAGGATGAAGAATTAAACACATGCATAATCACCATTCCATCAACATAACATGTTCTGAACACTTGTCACCTTTATTTGCAATTAACAAGATCTGTTTTGCAACAGAACCTGTTGACGGAATATAAAATCACCATTCAATTTAGACAGCTATGCAGGTTGAATATGCTTCTCTCTGACATATTATCAATGATGGCTTGACCCAAAGCGAGTTCAGTGACTGTCTTCTTGATCCAATCCGTGTTTCTCGATGTAGCGTCTGGATGAGGAAAAACATATATAACAGTAAGTGCTTCCCTTTACTTACATATGCCTGGTATATATTACAATGTGGAACGAACACAACTTTACGGACAGTGCAGCTGCACATCTAAATTATATTTGTCCCAAAGTAATAGTTGGTTATACTCAATACAATAGAGAGACAAAGTGTGCTTCAGAGTGTGCTTTTGACTATTACAGTTTATCACCACAACTCACCTATTTCAGAGTAACCAGTTATTGGACCCATTGTTCACAAATATTGATACATTGCAGCTTTTAAGTAAAACTAAGTATTTGCACGCATTGTCACTTTCAAAATGACGACACATTATATATATATATATATGTGAATATGACGATCGGCACAGTACTGGCTGACTCAGCGTAATGCCAGAGAGAGAGTATAGTTAGGAGGGTTGGTTAGTCCTACATTTCTCTTGATTTGTATTCCTTCACTGACTTTTCAGAATACATCTCAAATGACCCTAGAAAAGGAATTCAAAGTAAATCTCAAATCAAATGAATATTGTGCATAATGATAGCTTTACTTAGAGGTGTCTTTATAACATGAACCGAATAGACTATTCCAGAATGTATTACTTAAACAATAGTTGAGGGTATAATGGAAACCTTTACTCAACCTTTCTGCCCAAATATTAACAGACATTCTGCTCGTCTTGCTTAAAATACAATATTCTCCATGTGTGATGTAATTATGTGACACTGCTTATGGCAGGAATATCTCACCTTCTTGCAAAATTATACAGTGCTTCTTTTCTCTCTTGGAGAGACAAATGTCTATCAACTGGGTATCTCCCGAAACATTTGGCAGCAGGCTGTGGACGAAAAGAGAACATTATTANCCCTCACAGCCACAGATGAAGGATGATGTAGAAGGAGAACTCTCACTTCACTTGCACCATCCCAACTATCTTAGTTGCAGTACTCGGATTGAAGTCGTGGTGAAGTGAGAGTTCTCCTTCTACATCATCCTTCATCTGTGGCTGTGAGGGAGTGTGGTCGTCTTTCAACCAGAAGGTTGTGGGTTCGATCCCAGCCCCTGCAGTCAACATGTCGATGTATCCTTGGGCAAGATACTTAACCCTGAGTTGCTCCCGATGACATGGCCAACGGTGTGTGAATGTGTGTGAATGTTAGTTCCTAGAGTAAGGTACACTGCTCTGTATGAATGGGTGTGAATGTTAGTTCCTAGAGTTAGGTACACTGCTCTGTATGAATGGGGGAACGACATGTAGTATGTAAAGCGCTTTGAGGGGTCTTAAAGACTGGATAAAGCGCTATATAAGTACAGTCCATTTACCAATTACCATTTAGTGGGAAGTGACACAGCTCAGCCAAATAATACCTAAATACATTAATGGGCACACCTAGCTAAAGCAAATGCAACAGTCATTTTCAAGCCATAGATGGTTTTGCACTGATATAAGTGATTTTATAATTTCACAAGACCCTACATGACTTTAGCTCATTTTCTATCCATTTTGCCTTTCATTTTCCAAACCTTTTTCTGCCTAAATGGGAACTCAAGCTGTACATGTATTTTATAAGAATTTAACTGAATTGAAAGGGATTGGAGATTATTAAGCTAGTCTCCTTCTTTTAATTCTCCACTTCTGTCCTCAGTTTATGTTTCTCTGCCAGTCCAGACAGCAGTTACTGGGCCTTGGGGGGGCTATAGTATGAAGATTAGCTACAGCCACTATTGGCTCCGGCTCTTCTCATCAGCTGTGTTAAGAGATGACCCCCTACTTTCTCCTGAATATGCATTCAGCAAGGTTGTAAACACTCTCTCCATCAGATAATCATAGGACTAAATATGCTAAATCAGATAGTCAATCTGAATGTAACAGAACCTGAGGGTTGGTTTGGGCAGAGGCTGTGTCACTACGATGCATCAGCAAATGTTTTCGTCAATTATCCGGGCGTAACTTCCATCAATTGTAAGAGTCTGACAGTAGTTCAAAGTTCTCCTGTGTATTCCTTTTGTTCTGGATTTTTGCTCCAGGAATATCCTCAGAACACTGAAAGATGTCCAGTAAGATGTAAGACTGGCAACATCTGAATTTATCTTAAAAGAAAAGTCAAAGAGGACTTGCTGCAAATTTGTTCGCACTGCAATTTTGCCTCTCTTTGGAAACTAAAAGGTAAAACGAAACTTTTCTAATGGAGAGCGTTTTGTCTTTGTTTTTTTATCGTGTCGAACTAGAATCACATTGTTGTCATCCTAATTTGTTTGCCAACTGCTATTGTGCTGTCTGTTTGTTTATAAAAAAAATAAAATAAAAAGTCAAATGGAGAGCGGCGGGTACATCCAGTTGTGGACAAACAATGATCCGGACAGATTCAATCCCCCTAGACTGGAACATCTTTGATATGGAGTGTAATGACTGCAGAGGTTATAAAGTGCTGCAAAGAAACAAGCTGTTTAAAATTATGGATTATGCTCATCAATGCGGCAGTGTGTTTCAGGAAATGTGAGCTGGTTTGAATGTATTTTAAAAACAATGGGAGCCTGGGACTTCTGGGACACAGAGTGAACCTGCAGCAGAACAGACTGTAACAGCATCAGTTACAGAATCATCTCATTGTTGTTCTGTGGGAATGAGCAGTCCAACTCTGGAGTTTTAAAAAAATTGTTCATTAGGGTGGTCCTTAGTGCCATGTACATTTTCAAAATAATTTATTTTAAGCTCCAACCACCGGAATTCGTTATGATAGTCAATAAAACTCTGCTGGTGAATTGTATTTAAATTCCAGCAACATTTACCCCTCCCTCATCAACCTTGAAGTTTCAAACTATCAAAACAAATGACCCAAAAGTCCATTTGTTGGAGCAGATAGGCCAGCGGACCCTAAATGTTGCTAGTCATCAATATTTTACTTTTACTGCCTTTCACGGTTCATCCTCCGTGCTCTACGGCTGTCAGACGGCTGTCAGTCGGATGTCAGATGGCTGTCAATGGTGAAACACGTTCATACTTAAATGTGAGAGCAGGCCTCCTCAGTTGGTTGTAATGGTAAAAAAAAAAACTTTGTCAAACAAATATATGGTAGCACAAACAGATAATAAAAGGCAAGCATGTATTGCTAGTCTGTCATCGGCTGTCCGACGGCTGTGAGTGGTGAAACTCATTCATACAAAGTGTGAGCACAGTCATACTCAGTTGGATGTGCTGGGAGCATTTTTTGTTGACAAATGGCTGCGAGGTGGCTCTACCCAGTGCCCTGCCAGAATATCTCTGCCGGAAAAAGGCACTATAGTTCACACCGCAGTACTTTTCTTAGTTCCGATATAGTTCCGCAATGTCGCGTTCACACCAAAAAGAGCCGGAACTAAAATTAGTTCATCAGAACATTTTTAACCCCCTTTTCCGTCCCTGCTAGAGAGCAGGTACTTTCGTGGGAGAAAAAGGTTCCTTTGTCTGATTGGCTGGGCGGAATGCAAACCACGCCCCGTAAAACTCCCCAAAAAGTTTTGGGAAGCTGCCATTTTATTATCCTCGCATTAGCATTATTAGCATTAGCCCAGCGCACAAACGCAGAGAGAATAACTTATGGCAACACAAAAGAAAACATGGGAGCGGTGGAGATGAGGCTGTGTCGGCGTTCTGGCGATTTACTCGGAAGGCTTCAGTAGGAGCTGCTGGGAGTCCCGGCAGTTCATGGGAACTAAAGAGTTCTCAAGAGTTCTCAAGCCCTAAGACAATATTATTTTAATGCTATTTAGTATTTATTTAAAGTTAAATTTATGCATTAAAAATGTAAAAATTATATTGTATTAAATGTCAAACCATTTTCCTGTGCAATACCGGAGTGAAAAGGAGTAATTAAGGGGCTCTTTGCAATCATTCATGAAGACGCATGATAAGCTGTGCATACAGCCAAGCACTATTTGATTAAAATGAATGTTGGCCAAGGTCTCAAATGGACTAAGAAGCACTCGCTGAAACACTTCTTTTCAGCCCCTTATCGTGGAGTGATTTTTCACTTGTCACAGATCCAAGAAAATCTAGCAAACTTTTATTTTTTTATCAGGACTTTGTTCCACAACATATTCAAGGGATTTAAGGCTGCTTTAGAAAATACTTTGCTAACTTAGCCAAATCACAAAAGAGCGAGCTATCGCCCCTGAGCCTCAGTGGATTTAGTAGATGTTCGCTCAAACAAATTCTTGTGTTTCTCTACCCGCAGGAATAGATAAATGAAATTTTGTATCTTTCAAACAGCAGCAAGTTATAATCTTTGTTATGAAGCAATCACAGACCAGCTGAACTTTTTAACTAGTTATATTGAGGTTTTACATGCAGAAAAGGCAGCATGTTTGCACCTTTGAGGGCAAACATCTGTTCCAATCTGTACCTGTGTTTTGTTGTTGTTATATTCATCAAAAACTCACCTTGCCGTGAATCCTCGCTTCCAGGGGGAGTCTTCGTGTTACCAGAGAGACCAGAATACAAAACATTGCTGAGGAGAAGGCGACGGCGGCGAACACGAGTCCCCAGGAGAGGCTGCAGAAGTAACAGGAGCTCTCAGCAGATGTGCACACCAAGACGTGCACTGAGGCGAGCAGCAGGCACATGAGGTAGAAAGGCAGCGAGAGCAGAGCTGAGAGAACAGGAAGTTCCACCGCTGCGTCACCGCTCAGAGCCTCGGGCATAGCCAGCAGTAAGACCAGCAGGAGCTTCATGGCCGGGAGAGAAGAGGAACTTTGATCACTATTGGTTCAACTTATACAACCACAGAAACCCACAAAAAACAGACCATTTCTTTATTTTGGTAGATGACAGCACTGCCATCTAATCTGGACACTCATTAAGTATAATAGAGTGTGTCAGTACATGTTTAAAGTTAGGTAAGGGGTTTGTAATATTATGATGAAAGCATTTGGGAGCAATGTGGTGGTTCGCTGTACTGGATCCATTTGGGATTTGAACTCTCCATTCTCCAAGCCAAGGCCATACAGACTGAGCTATTAGTGTCCCATATGTTCAAATTGTTGTATTGTTCAAGCAGTGCAATTGCATCCAAAGACGCCAATAGATGGAAATCTGCGCTAAACGTAGCATGTTAAAAATTGAATGAAACCTGTCAGTGTTGAAATTTTCCTGATTTAACTGTCCTTCTGACTTTGCTGAATCAGAAATGGACGAAAATTGTTTAGCAGTCAGTCGGCACCCGTTCTCAATAATGAACATCTTAAATGCCAGTGAGTTTTAATCATTTGAAAGTTACACGGCAAGTAGATATCTTTGTGTATCAACAATAATGTTGCTGGCTTTTATGCCAAATTAAAATGCTCTGATTATTTGACTAATCGATCAGTCATTCGGCAGGAATATAATAACCTCAGTGGTTCAGTACTTTTTCATGAAAACACGTCAGAAAATGTTATGCGTCATGAGATTCCCGGCTTTTCTCTGTTTTATATCCTGTTATACTGATTATCTTCATCAGATCAGACAAATCACACAAAATAATACATTAAAATACATCACCTTGGACTATAAGATATTTGCGAAGGACATTTTCACAATTTTCTGATATTTTATGGATCAAACAATAATAATAAGAAGAAGATTCAACTTATTGTCATTATGTAGTACAGTACTATGTAACAAAATGGTTTGTTTACATTTGACACATCCTAGTGTTAGGAGCAGTGGGCTGCCATTATGTACGGCGCCCGGGGAGCAGTGTAGGGAACGGTGCCTTGATCAGGGACACCTCGGTAGCACTTGGTCTTTCCGGGAGTTGAACTGGTGACCTTCCAGTTGCCAAGCCAAGTCCCTATGGACTTCGCCACCCACCGCCCAATAAATCAAGGAATGTAAAAAATGTATCTGCAGATTAATTGATAATAAAATATAACAGTTAGGTGCAGCCCGAAACTATCCAAACTCCATGACGCAGTAGTAAAGCTCCCGAAAATAATATAAAACAAGAAAGATGGTCAATCAATCTTACCAAAGCTTTTTCTTCTAGCTTTTTTATGAAAACTACACTGCTAGGAACATTTCCTTCTAGACATTTCCTCATAGACCAGTCCTAAGGATATATTAAATTGTGCTGCACTAACCTGGAACACAAACACCATGCCTGCGATCATGGAGTACATGTCGTACTTGCCCAGCTGTTTGCTGAGAGCCGAGCTCATGGCAGCCAGGGCCTCCACATACTGCTTCAGGACCTTTTTGCCCATGTTGCTGAGCACCTCAGAGGTGTTGCCCTCCAGGAAGAGCTTCATCCAGCTCCCATGAGCCTTTTCTGCCACGCGGAACTGCTCGAAGCCTGCCTCTGGAATCAGACAGGGGACATCTGTATCAACAACTGGCAAAGTAGACTTAGAGGGAGCATTAAAAAGGATTACGGTAGTTGATTTTATGTTTGCTGTCATGTACTTAAAGACTTAAAACTTCTTGTTAGAACTTTTGCATTCATATGGATTAGTCCAAATGAGGACATTCGCAGCATCTCATTTATGAACTGGTGTCACGTATATTTTGCACTGTTTATTTGTCCCAAAATATCATCTTTCGATTTAAAGTATCTCTGATACAATCAAACATTAAAGAGGCCCTATTGTGCTTTTGGGGTTTCCCCTCTCCCGTAGTGTGTTGTATAGTAATAGGTTTCTTTGCATGTAAATGGTTGGCAAAGGCTAAAATCCCAACATTTCCTCCAGAGGGAGTTTCTCTCCCAAGCACTTGCTTGAAACGCCTCAATTGGACTCCTTTGTTTACTTCCATAACATAGGGACATCACTATATAACACTTGCGGTTCTATTGGCTAGTGCTCTGACACATGATAGGCTAACGGGCGGGACATCTCTTAGTGGTTGACCGATTATAACAGAGATGGCCAGCTAACCATTCAGAGCAGAATAAGCTTGGACTTCACAACAGAAGAGCTGGTAGAAATGCCCATTCTTTACTATTAGCTTAATAAATAAAAAAAACTTAAATCATAAAGAAGTGAAAAAAAGCAAAGGCATTGGGAAGTGTTTTATCTCACAGAAAAGGTCTCCTCAGAGTGCTGCCTATCTTGCTGTATTTCATCATAAAGAAAATACGTGCCCTTTTTTTACCAATTCTTTCCTTATGAATGGGAGTCCACTAATCATATTAGACTTCATCAATCATTCTGAAGCATGTTGGATGGTTACAATGGAAATCTATTAACTTTCTTGTTCTGGTACCTGTGTCGATAATGTTACTTAAATTGAAAAGATAATAAAATGCCCGTGGTAAAAAACATTTAGTCCTGAAAAAGCAATGTATAATTTGTCAGGATTCTAACGATGACAAGCTATGACTCATTCACATGTTTACTCAAAGCAGACGAAATGGTGCCTGCTTTCATTTGACTTCAGTGCGTTAGGAACCTGCTCAAGGACACACACACACACACACACACACACACACACACACACACACACACACACACACACACACACACACACACACACACACACACACACACACACACACACACACACACGTGATAAATAGTGAGTGTGGCTTTGCCAGACAGAGGGGTTGGTAGAAATATTAGAACCTTAAGCCACAGGCATGAATCATACAATATCGATGGCCCCGGCCATGTTTCATCTGTCTAAGAGAACAGGGATTGGTTAATGGGTCTCCGAGATGCCTGAGGTTAGAAGCACATGAAAAAAAAAAAACAATATGAAAATTGAACAAGGCAGACAGTGATGGATCTAGAAATTAGTTTTATGATAAGAGTCGAAAGCGACCCCTCCCAATGTTTCCCGCAGGATTTTGTGAGAATATGGTGGTTGGACTTTGGACCCTAGCAGTGTCACGGTACATTATTTTAAAGCATCATTCTGGTACACGTTGAGAGCATAATGCTTAGGTGGTTAGGGTTAGATTCATGAAGAGCTTCGTGTTCTTGTACAACATTTTAGTTTTTTTAATTGTGTGCCCAACTTCAGAGAAACAACCAAGCAGACTTGTGTCAGTCATGTGATGGGGCCAAAGAATTAAAGCTAACTCAACTTTCCAGTGTGAACACTTGGATAAACCTTATTCAATTATTAGGCCATGACATGATACTAATAGACAAATCCAGTTGATTGTTCCATAAAAACCTTTTACCCACTGACCTAAATTGGGAAAAAGAGGTCGTTGTATATATATTTATCGCTTAAACCACCTTTACAGTATGAATAATTGGATAACCTTTTTAAATTACCGGTTTAGACTGAGGGTTAGGCTAGGTTTCTTCAGGAACAAGTCCTGTTTCTCGCTTGAGGCCAGGGCAATGCCTGTAGCACCATGGAGCATATGTGTGGGCTGGACCTGTATTTTACAGGAAAAGAGTGAGCAGATGGTCGAGTTGTCAATTCTTGTTCAGTTTTCATCTTCCTCACCCTCTCAGACTTTGAGTTGCCGCGCTGCTAAAGAGACTCGCTACCACGGAAACCAAACAATGGTGTAGCTGTGTTAAAGTCTGAGTGGAAACGGTCGTGAGTAAATCTGATTTTGTCAGAAATCGGGAG